CAAAGAAATATAGTTTCAAATAATTTATCTCCTTTCTTTGATTGGTGGGGATCAACCAAAAAAAAAAAAAAAAAAATTCATTTTTTATGTTAACGATACTAAAGTAGATACTAAGTCTTATCTACAAAGAAATTTTACTAATAAATGTCCTTGTAAAAATGTTTATAGAGGGTGTTTAATAAAGTATAGGGTTTTCAATTGGTTTTAACCAATGACCGAAATCTGCGGTTTTTTATCGAAACCGATATAAACGTAATTGAACTTTATTTTTAGAATGCATTTTGCTGAAAAATCTAATATGTCTTTTTATTTTCAAAATTATTCAAGTACAATTGACTCTCGATATCTCAACTACTCGATATCTCAAACCTTTGTGCATCTAGAACTTCATTTCCGGTCTCTTTCACACTCGTTTGAGCCATAATCCTCTCAATATCTGGAAACAACATCAGACTATTTACCTGTTTCTCTGAAGAATGAATTAAACACGCATCACACACTTGCCAAAATTTACTGATCAATACATAAACATATAATAAAGATAACATAATCGATACCAATAACTTATGCTCTGATAATGCCATTATCAGTCCACAAACAGGATTTTCTAAAGATTCATATATAAATAGTAACAAACTAGCAAGCACAAAAAATTCTTTAAATCAACGATTAAAAAATCTTGCAAATTACAATAAAAATCCATCAATTAGCGATAATCAATCAGAGAATAAAAACAAAATAATAAAAAAAATAATATCGTTATTGTCGGGGGCCCCTTGCCTAATCTTGATAATAGCAACGAAAATAATAATCAAGGAGACAAAAATAAAATTAATGAGAATTAGATGAAATAAGTTTCCACCTTAGATTTCTACTTTGGCTCAATACATATAATCCACTTAGTACCTCTGTAATTTCATTGAAAAAAGCTTTTGTTTCATTGTAAATTTAGTGATTTTTTATACTAAAAGCCATAGTAGGGTTTCATGATTTCATAAGTGTCAACCATTTATCAATAATTCAGTTAAATCAAGCAGATGTGATTATAGAATCATCTTTTTTTATTTTCAATAAATTTTAATGCACTACTTACATTTATAATACTCTTGATACTTTTTTTTTGTTTAAATGTTTTTCATCAAGAAATTTATAAGTAAACATCAAATCCATATTTAGAATGTCAACAAGTTTGTGCATAAATTTTGAATATATAACTAGTGATAGACGTATTTTTTTTTGAATCTTAGCTGTATTTATTATTAACTGTAACTCAATTCTATATTTAGAATGTCAACAAGTTTGTGCAGGAATTTTGAATCTATAACTAGTAATAGAAGTATTTTCTTTTGAATTCCAGCTGGAATTTTGAAAGGTTTGTTACATAAAAGAGATGTTCTTGTACTCTTCAATAAATCGAAAACAATTTGAGTCACATGGATCTTAATTTTAACTGGAAAAAGTATAACTTTGAGTACAGCTTATGCTAAAAGATCTTTACATTAACTGGTTATTTGCACCTATATAGGTAGAACTTTCTTTATAATAATGTTACAGTTTATTTTCATCTTGTAGATATTCCTCTAAACATAAAAACTAAAGTATGGTTAGCTTGGCTATAAATTATGGTCTTAGCATTATAGTATAATGTAAAGGTAATCTAACAATTCCATAGTATGAGCTTGATATGTATCATAGTTTCATCAAGAATGGAAGTGCATTCTTTTACATGAATTTTTATTACATTCACATTAGTTTTCATAAACTTTTACACATGTTTAACACAAAATTTTAGTACCAAGGTTACTCGCAGTTATTTTTTTTTTTGGCAATAACATGGCGTAAAAAACCATAAAAATCGAACATCCAATTAAAAACGATCACACGTATGTCGCCTCTCTGAGTATATAGGCTCTAGTGTAAATAGCAAAGAAATAAGCTTGAAGGTACAAGTACAAGATCAAATTGAAAGTACAGCCTACAAAGCAGATTTAAATATTAATGATGTATCATTAAATTTTTTTAATGATAGATAAAGTTTTTTTAGATAGGATTTTTTTTTTTAACGAGAACATTAAAAAAAAAAAAAAAATCCTTTTGACTTTATTGCATGCATTAATTGAAATTAAGTCTTATATGCGGGAATTAGAATTCGATTTCACTACATAATGAAAATAATAATAATAATAAGTTTAGGATTTTATAGTGTTGGGAGGGAATGAAATTAATAAAAAGTACCTTTTAATTAAAGTAATTTTTTTATTGAAAATTATTATTATTAAAAGTAATTTTTACTTAAAAATTAAAGCAGCCGTGATGTAACGATTAAAATTTTTGCTTCAGAACTGGAAGTCCATGGTTTGAAGCCGGCCATAAATGCATCATTACTAAGGATAGAAGCATGAATTTCCTGGTTAAATGCTATTCTGCGGTGCTCTATGGTGAGGCCGTTACAACTCTAAATAACAGTTTTCTGATGTTTTCTGATAATACTATCTACATTATGTCACAGTAAAGATTTTTTAAAATTTTAATTCATGTCACATTGCAGTAAAATAAAGCAAAGTTGTTTGTAAACGAATGTATGACTTTTGTATGACCTGCACAAAGAGGACTTAGTTGCGGTGGTCCCTGTTCGGAAGTTTTGACTTACCCCCCTCACTTTTCGCGTTGGTTTTTCTTTCTATTTTACATATGATTGGCTAACATTAGTTTTACAAGACTGTTTATAAACCACCGTTACGTACTTAAGAATCACTAAAAAGCGTTTTTTTTTTCATTTTAGATTGTTGCAGTACTGAAAACTTGTTGTTTTGCTTATGAACTATATTGTATCTCTATCATGTGTTTTACTATAAAGATGTTATCTAAATGTGTCGCATATAGCTGTTATATCATATACAATTGCTATAAACATTAAAATTACATTTTTATTTAAGAGTTAAATTCAACACTACTCAGTAGTGTTGAATTTAACTCTTAAATAAAAATGTAATTTTAATGTTTATAGCAATTGTATATGATATAACAGCTATATGCGACACATTTAGATAACATCTTTATAGTAAAAGGAGTGACTACTGTCTACGTTAAGTGTAAATTAAAAACTAAATATATTTAAGTGTAGTTATAAATATGTATTCACAATATTTTAATATAAATATTAGTGTATTTATTGAATTTTATTTATTTCATATACTTAATAATACTAATAGTATTTTAAATTTATTGACATTTTTATTTAGACTATTTTCTTATAGCTTATTTTGTACTAGGTATAAAATTCTATACTACAAAAACTATATTATGTAAGTGTTTATAAACGTAATATCTATTATAACGTAAAAAAAGTATTCATATATAGTATCATATTTGTAAAAAGTAATGAATTTGGTTAAAATTTTAAAGACATTTTTTCTAAACAAGTACTCCTATTTTTATCATATACATATATAGTATATATATAATATACATATATATATATATATATATATATATATATATATACATATATATATATATATATATATATATATATATATATATATATATATATATATATATATATATATATATTATACATATGTATATATATATATATATATATATATATATATATATATATATATATATATATATATATATATATATATATATATATATTATTATTATTATTACTATTTTTATTATTTCAAACTAGTATCTAATAAGTTCGTATTCTTTAAAAATAACCCAACTGTATTGTCTTTCTAAAATTTCAGTACAAATTATATGTACTAAAGTTTTATGTCAGGCATGATTATTACATGAAATAACTTATCATTTTAATGTTGTAACTTATTAGTTTTAATTATGTAATTTTCGGGCTGTCAAGTTGTTGTTTTATTTTTATGGGTCTTATGTATTATTATTTTTTTTAATTTTTAATGTTTTTGTAATTTTATTTTTTGATGAAGTTTTTACAATTAAAAATGAAAAAATGCGTCTAGATCATATCCCACTCGCAATAATTTTATGGTATTAGTATTTTGCCAATCACTGAAATAGTGGACTGGAATGCTGCCTCTCCAAACTTAAACTCTTAGTCGATGTATATTCACTTTACTGTGCCAATCCCTAAATCAGTTGTTTTATGTACACTTTACTGCGTCTATCCATAAATCAGTAGGTATATCTACACTTACACTACCTTTATCCCTAAGTAGTTATTGTTTGGCAAATTACTAAAGTTGTCAAAATCATTGCGAGTGGGATATGATCTAGACATAACCATTAAAAATACATTAAATAAATTATTTAATTAAAAACATGTAAAAAGTGGATTTAAAAATATGAAAAAAAATGACAACTTGACAGCCTGAAATTGTTATATTGTGTCAGAAAAATTTAAATTCTTTATTTGAAAAAATTTAGATTTTATTTGTTAACTATTTTTTATTTTTTTATTTTGTAGTTTAGTTCAAATAGTCATTGTTTATTAGCTTTACTAATAATTGTTTATATCCATTTATTATCCATAATAAATACTAAGAAAAAAAACTTAAACCGGTAACTGAAGATTTTTTGTAGCCTCTGCCTATTTAATTCTAAAATCTCTTAATACAACTCTTTGCTTTTTTGTGAATAATCATAAAATTGACTCTAATAGAAGACCTTAAATAATGATTTCAATAAGTTTAAACAAAAGTATTTCAAAAGTTTTATTAAAACTAATACTAAGAACTTTTTTTTTTTCTAATTTAAAAATAAAACTAAAAAAAAAAGTTGAATATGAAAATTATAATTTTTCTTTATTCTGATTGTAAATACTTTTAGGTTGATTAGTAAAAAAAGCTTTTAAAATAAAAGTAGACAGTAAGTAGTAAAGAATGGCTTTCTTAAAGTATTATCATTCTGTTTTTTAATTATTTTACTTTATTTGATAACCAAAATCCTTTGGAAAACCAATATTCACAAAATTCTTTGTTTATCTAATTTTTTTTTCTTAAATGTTGTATAATTTATTTTGTAGTTAAGCATCAACTTTCATAATTAATAAAAATGCGTGGAAAGTTTTCTCAAAATGGAGAGGTTCAGGCTGATATAGATACAAGTAGTAGTGGCTCATCTCCTCATTCACATAATGATGATGATATAATAGAAGTTACTAATCTTAATTTTCATCCAAAACCAATCTATAACTTTTCTATTCCTGATTTGATCAAGCATGAGCCACACATTGAATCCAATGTACAACGTAAACGCAGTTCACGAGATCTACTTAAAAATGATACATCTGATGATAATTATGAAAAAGGTTCAAAAAGACGTGCTATATCTAATAATGTGATTGATTTAACAGAAGTAGATTCACACGATGAAAGTGGTGCTGCATCTGATTCAGAGATAACCTTTTCAAATGAACTATCGAGGTATGCAAAATAACACATTAGTCATTCATTATATTAAGTATTAATACTCTAATGTGATATACAATATTTTGACTTAATTGTCTGTCCTTGAGTTTTGAAATATAACAAATATAAAATGAATATAACAATATATTTTTGGTAATGAATATAATATATTTTTGGTTTTGAATAATCTCTATAAAAATAATATTAGTAAAATATATTTAATTTTTGAATTGATTAAAATACCATTCCATATTTAAGTAATACTATATTATTTTTTGTTATATTTCTTGTTATAACTATATGTGAATTACCAAAATTAACTGAACTTATAATATATATATATATATATATATATATATATATATATATATATATATATATATATATATATATATATATATATATATATATATATATATATATATATATATCAGGCCTTGTTACGAGATTTCGCTGCGTAATGGAAAAGCGAAACGTGAATAAATGTAACTTTACTCAATAAAGATATTTACATTGTTAAAAATTAAATTACATCAGTTTCGTTTTTACTTCATCGTAATTAAATTTAAAATGAAATTAAAAACTATTGTTAGTCTTTGAAACGAAATAGCTTTAAATTGAACAATGTTGTTATAAAAAAAAAAAAAGTTAATGTTGATTAAAAAAAAGTCTTGTATTAAAATCTTATACTTATTTAAACTTAATTTTTTTACTTTTAAACATTCGTTTTATGGTTGTTGTTTTTTTTTTTTTTTAATATTTTTTTTTTAAATAATTTAAATTTAACACTTATTTATGGTTGAATTTCTTAAAGGGATTTAAATGTACTTATAACTAAACGCATAGATTGGGTTTCCCCCTTTTAAAAAAACATTTGCACTAACTGGTTTTGATAAAATAAATACTGTAAAGAAACGAAATTTACTGCTTTTTCGGCTTTGTTTTTTTTTTATTTCCATTAAAATATTTTATTTTTATGTACAGTGAAACCTAATATTTTTTTACTCAATCCAAAAAAAAAAAAAAAATAGTTTTTTCGGTTTTAAGATGTTATAAGCAGAATTTGTTTTAAAAAAATATAATTTTAATTTTGAAATTGATGTATCTTATATTTATAGCTCTATACTAGTTTTGTTTTTAAAATAAAATAAAGATAAGTTGGGCTTTTAAAGAGTTTATTTACTGATCGCGTTATTTTTAATAGGTTTGAATTTTGGTTTGTTTTATAAAAAAAAATTTTCGGCATACGGCAAAGGGAAAACCCAAACATATCAAGTTTAAAAGTATTGACGTCATTTATTAACTTGTAGTTATAAAATAATGCGCTTCTGTAAATAACGAATGAAACTGTAAAATAATGGAAAAATAAAAATTAGAAAATAATGCGTTTTTGTTAAGTGCATTATTCAGACCAGTATTTGAAACTTATCTGAAACTTAACTGAAATTAAAATAAAGTTATATGTAATACGAACATTTTAAAGTAACTTGAATTAAATTTATTAAATCTTTGTTTAATTTAAAAATTTTATCATAAAAAAGTTTAAACTTAAAACACTTATTTTTTTTTAACAACAACAACAATAAAAATAATTAAACAAATTTTTCTTTAACAAAAAATCTATTAGTTTACAATTGCGGTTAAATGCTTTTACTTACGACTTTATTTTCTTCTGAATAAACGTCACGTAAACAATATCAAATGATAATTTGAATATTCTAAAAGATTAAAGTTTTTGCGTAATGCAAAACTGCTGAACACGTAGGCAAATCGCCTTTTCGCAGGTAAAATGCGAGCTGCGTAACGATTCTTAACAAAGCCTGATATATATATATATATATATATATATATATATATATGTATATATATATATATATATATATATATGTATATATATATATATATATGTATATATATATATATATGTATATATATATTATATATATATATATATATATATTTATATATATATATATATACATATATCAGGCTTGGTCAAGAAGCGGGTGCGATCGCTCTCGAATACTGACCACAGAAATTATATTTACTTGCGAAAAACTGGCCAGGTTTTTTAGTTGTTTTGATAACATTTAAATTTATGTACGAAACAATAAATTTTGGTTTTACGGACATATAAGGAAACATAAAAAACTTAAATGTTCTCAAAACATCTTGTGTGCGAAAGAATAAAAAGAATATTCGTGAACTCTAAAAACCGGCCAAATAACGAACAAACTAATTCAAAAAATACTCTGACTAAGCCAAATAAAGTTCTAGAGTATTCTGTTGAAATGTTTTAGAAATTGTATTATTCACGATTTGTTATATTATGAGATTTCTAGAATAAATTGTTTTAAGAATATATAATCAATTCTATGGCTCATTCTCGGAGCCACATCTGCATAGCCGTAAATCTTATAAACTACTATTATTTGTTTACATAAATAAATGTTTTAAATTTATATTATTTATATTGTCAAAATTTTTAAAAATTATTATAAATTGTAGATTTTATTATTATATACTTGTTTAAAGAGTATGTATTTTTATTTAAATGTAATTTTGTGTATCTGTTTTTTATCAATTTAATTTGTAAGCAAAGACTTACAAAAATAATTGCCTTTTCAATGAAGTTATTAATAATCATTAAAGTTAATAAAACTAATTATGTAGCAAACATATAAGAAGTTTCTGGTTACTAAACACAAACTATGCATACTAAGTAACTCGCGGATGAACAAGCACTGCGCCTTAGGTCACAAAAGAACATAAATATATATAGCAAGTTATTAGATATAAAGAAAAGTTTCTAGATATTGGTTCACTAAATCTAATTATTTTCGCTTTAGTTACCTTTCTTAAAAACTTGTTATACTTTTTTTTGCTTTAAATACTAATTAAAATTAAAAAGCCCACTCGCTAAACATTATCAGCGGTATTATGAACCAGTTTCGCTTCCTCGTCATAAAAGTATTTTTAACTTTTTTAGTTGATTTCTATCTAGTAAATTTAATTTCTCTAATAATTCAATTATTTAATTATTTCATTTGTTTATCTTACTAAGAAGAATTGTTTCGTATATGTTAAACTTTTCAAACTATGCGAAGCATAAAATAGGTATTAAACAAATTAACTTTTTTATTTATAAAATAATTTAGCTTAGATAAAACTAAAACTTGCAAACTTTGATAAATAAAGAACATTTTTAAACAAATTAAAATTTATTTTGTTTTAAATTTTTTTGCGTTAAAAGATATTTTATTTTCCTAATTTTTTTTTTTTTTTTTGTAATTGTCTCTCATCGGTCCAATTAATCTTTAGCGCTTTTTTTCGCAACTAAATATTATTTCCGTGGTCAGCAATCGAGAGCGATCGCTCCTGCTTCCCGACCAAGCCTTATATATATATATATATTTATATATATATATATATATATATATATATATATATATATATATATATATATATATATATATATATATATATATATATATATACTAGGGTGGTCCTTAAAACAACTTTTTTTTTTGAAAAATTTTTTAATTCTAGTATTATTTTATTTTAATGCTCATCAAGGAAGCTGCATGTGTTGAAAAAAATAATAATTTTAGCTTTTTGTATTTCTGAAGTTCTAAAGAAAAAGTTTATTATCATACGAAAAAGATCTGCACAACCAAAAACATGATACTTTTAATTGACATTTCCTTTTAAAATCATTACCACTAGATCACCATAGTTACTAGCAGCTACTATAAATAGTTATTGTTTCCTGTTTAAAAAACTATATTTTCTTATTATGAATACAATATTAACCTTTAATATTTTTTGTAAATATTTAGTAATTTTTTATTTATATATATTTTTTAAATAAAATAAAAAGATGTTTTATATATGGTTGATAAACAATTTTTACTTGATTTATATTGGTTTTTAAATATATATATATTAAATTTGTATATATATATATATATATATATATATATATATATATATATATATATATATATATATATATATATATATATATGTATATATTATATATATACATATATATATATATATATATATATATATATATATATATATATATATATATATATATATATATATATATATATATATATATATGTATATATTATATATATATATATATATATATATATATATATATATATATATATGTATATATTATATATATATATATATATATATATATATATATATATATATATGTATATATTATATATATATATATATATATATACATATATACATATATACATATATACATATATACATATATACATATATACATATATACATATATACATATATACATATATATATATATATATATATATATATATATATATATATATATATATATATATATATATATATATATATATATATATATATATATATATATGTATATATATATATATATATGCCTCGGCAGGAATAATTGAGTGCACAAGCAGTGAATCACCCGTCTAAAAGGGTATGCGATGCAGGCAATAAGCATTTTTGTGGGTTTGTTTGATATTTTGATAAAAAAGCTCATGGATAAATTAAAATTAATTGTGTTTTAGTTATAGTTTTTTAAGTGTTACATTTTAATGTTTGTATGATATAAATCAGAAAAACAATTTTCAACAATAATTGTTTTTCTGATAATTTATTAAAAAAATTAGATTGCTATGTTATTGAAACGATTTATTATTTTATTAATAATATTTTGTGGTGAGTTTCTATTTATTTTTATATTTAAAATGTTCCTTTGTTACTGTTTTCCTTTATGAAACTTTTTTTTTTAATTTGAAAAGTGTAAAAATCACTCCATAGATAGAACTTGTCCATAACTCACTCAAGTAAATAAAAGAAAAGACTTTTTTAATTAAAACTTGTATGTAAGAGTTCAATAATTTTAAAATTTTAAAAAATTTTAAAAGTTTCTTTGTTATGTAATTTAAACTTAAAGTAACAAGTTTTTATTACTATTTATTAAAAAAAGTTTATTACTGTTTATTAAATTTAAGTTTTAAATAAGCATGTATCTATTATTTTCACTTTGAATAATATATATATATATATATATATATATATATATATATATATATATATATATATATATATATATATATATATATATATATATATATATATATGTATGTATGTATGTATGTATGTATGTATGTATGTATGTATGTATGTATGTATGTATGTATACAAAAACATTTATTAACTCTTGTTAAAAAATATTACCCGTCTTGCATTCTATGTGTATAATGGTTAATTGTGTATGCATTTATCAATATTACATTAAGTGAAACCTCTTTAATTTTGGAATATCTGAATTATCATTTGATATCACTTATGTGATGTTTATTTAGATTGAATATTCATTAAAAAAATGCATTTAACCTCAATTGTTAATTTTATTTTGAATTAAATGGTTATTTAGTATATATATTTTTAATTTAATGACTAAAAATAAGACTAAATATAAAAAGCCTAAATATAAAAAATTAAATGAGGTTTTGAATACCAAAACTTTAAATTTAATTTTAAAGGAATTTAATATAGTTAATAAAACTTAAAATGTAAAGTTTAGTTTCAGAAGAACATAAAATAGTTTTGCAATATTCATTAAAAAAAATTTTATCTTATCATCTGCTAATTCATTACATAAAACATAAGTCTCTCCATCATAGATTAATATCTGTAAAAGCAAAAAAAAAAAAAAAAAATATTAAAAGAGAGATAATTTTTGTTTAAGATAATACTTTTCATGAAAGGATTTATTATTTTTGTTTCTTATTAATTCACTATCGTGTAATGTACTTTTTGGGCATAAGTTATTTATGAATATAAAATATCTTTCTGGTAACTGATAAGATCTATCTATAAATTGTTTATACTTTATAAACAATTTATAGATAGATCTTATCAGTTACCAGTAAGATATTTTATTTAAATAGTTTATTAAATATATTAAAAAAGCAATAATAACGATAGTAATGATAAGTTGTGATAAACAAGCAAAAGATTGTTACATATAAGATTGTTTTTAGAAATGAGGAATTATTATCTTTTTAAAATATGAATTTGAATTTCAATGATTTTAAATTAAATGGTTATTACATGACTTAAAATTAGATTTAATGTGGTACTTCAAAATATGCTAATGACACAATTTAACTTTTAGCGATGTAAATATCAAAGTTGAGTTAATTACATTTATTAGCAATAAAACATTTTTGTTACACAATAAAATTTCATAACAAGGCCTGGTATATATATATGAAATCTCATTATAAGCCCTGGTATATAGTTGAGTTGAAGTTACATTTATCAGTATAAAGCATTTTTGTTACATAATAAAATCTCATAACAAGGCTTGGTATTTATGCTGCTACATCAACTGACAGGTAATCAATTTTTAATTATTAAGTAAAAGTTTTACTTTTTAAGTTTTTAAACTTTTTCCAGTCTTTACAAAAAAAGACAAACTTTACTATTTATGATAAAAATTGAAGGAAAAAATCTTGCACTTTTTTTTTTTTTTTTTTCAAGTTTTTAATATAACATAAAAATTTAAATAGTGTTTTTATAAACTATTAAAGCTCAATAATTCTTTGCTGTTTTATTTACAGTTTTTTTAAGGTAGTCGGTAAAATGCAAACTGCAAACTTTTTTGCGAACCATAGTTCTATTGGTTGTTAATGATGTAATTTTTTTTATTTTCCGTTTACTGTTAAATTATTTATTTTACTATATATTTTATGGACTTCAAGCAGAAACATAATTATACTTAATTTAAAAGAAATACCGTCTAATTCAAGTAACTACACTATATTTAATTTACATAAAAAAAATTGACAAGCAAAATTTTTTTTAAATATCATAACCATAGTGGTCACTAAAATATAATGTCTTGGTTCACAAAAAAGTTCGCGTTTTACCTTTTTGCAGTTCGCGGTTTGCATTTCGCGGTTCGTAGTTCGCATTTTACCAACTTCCTTTTTTTAATATGGTTTTGAATGAAATTCTTATATTGGTCATTTAAATTAATTTTACTAGTTGATTGAAAAACATTTTTAAAAAATCTTCAATAACAAACTTTTTTTTGAAAAATCATTTATTTGCTTTTTTTATATTATTGCATAATTATGTAATACTAAAGAAATATTTTATTTTAAATGCGCTAGATGTTTTTTACTATTTTTGTTTATGTAAGTAAAATACAACTCAACCTAAAAAACATTAAATTTAATAAAAACATTATTGAATATAATAAAAGTTTAATAAATTTTGGTGCTTATAAAAAAGTAATTGTATTTTGCACAGGCTTTATTTGGCCTGTGTAAACTAAAAAATGAGTGTGGATTGCTATTTCTCCCAAACCTATATATATATATTTTACCAGACTTCAGCAGGATTAAATGATTGAATTAGCCTTGAAATGCCATTCTGAAATGGACTTGGTTGTCATCTCGAGCTGTACGCACTGATAGTGCTTGGGCAGGTATTTTTAAGGGGTTTTTCGAAGTTTAGATTGAAAAAAGTCAGAAAATAAAATTATTATTATAATTTATTACATTTTAATAAATAGTTTTATTAGTTATACTGTAATGATTTGTATCATATCATAAATGCATAAGAGAATCGTCACCAATGGTTGTTTTTTGGTATTTATATTTTCTGAATTAGTTTTGATAGTATCAACAACAGTTTGTAGTCTATTATTATTTTTTATTTGTTTGTTTTAAAGAGGATACTTGAACTCTAAAATTCCTTATAACTTTTACATGGAGTTAAAGTCTGGGTTTTATAGTGACCCTATTCGGACCTTAACAATTGTTGTGCTTCCTTGTTTATTTGGCTAAAATCTAAATTTATAAATGCATAAAGAAAAAATGTTTTTAATAAAATATTTTTATCAAGGTGTCAAATATTTTATAAGATTAGATTTTTATTTAATATTTATGTTATTTGCTTCACACAGATTGTCTTGTATATCAATGTAAAAGAATTTAAAAAATTTTAGATCTCTTAATCATGAAGATTCAGAAAATTCCTTTATTAATGTTTTGTCTGATTTGGAGCAATTTCGTCATCGATTAGAACAGTCACGCGAGCGAATGCATTTCATGCGACCAAATCTTTTACATAGACTACGGCGAAGGCGTTCTTCGCGTGCTGTTGTAACTGATGGGCCTCTTATCACAAGCAATATGTTGGATGCTAGAAATAATGTTATACCCGAGACAATCAGTGATGATTCAGTTTTAGTTGTTGATGTAAGTGTTTTATAATGTAAAAGTTTCAAGTCTTTTAATATTTAAATTTCTTTAATGTTAAGTTTATATAAGTTAAAACTTAGTTCACAATTTTGAATCATGTATTTTTGTTTTGTATATTTTAAATTCATGAAAATTTAGTTTTAATTGTATTTAAACATTGATTTTTAGTGTTTTCAAATAATAATTTTGTTGTTTATTAACTGTTTTTAGGTAGTTTTTTTTAAATAATAGTTTTTTTTAAATAATAAATTTTAAAAATCTTTTATTGTGATACAATATTTCTTAATTTATGCATTTATTTTATACACATTATGTTAGTTTGCTATATTTTTCAATAATTATGTTAAAATATTTACACTTTTGGTTTGATTAGAGCAAAAATGCTAACTAATGCCTTTTAAAGGAAGACAAAAATCTTATATAGAACATCAGGGTGTTTGTAGTTCCCTATCTATATTTATACAACCAAATTAGAGTATCACATTAAGTACAAAAATTTGACATTTTATAAATGTTAAATTAAATTGTTCAACTTGTTTCATTCTTAAGCTTTTTCATATTTATTTTGCGTTCTTTGTTTGATATCGTAGAGAGAATGCAAGAAAGCGTCTCTTCTTTGTTTATCGTAGAGAGAATGCAAGAAAGCGTCTCTTCTTTGTTTATCATAGAGAGAATGCAAGAAAGCTTCTCTTCTTTGTTTGATATCGTAGAGAGAATGCAAGAAAGCGTCTCTTCTTTGTTTGATATCGTAGAGAGAATGCAAGAAAGCGTCTCTTCTTTGTTTATCGTAGAGAGAATGCAAGAAAGCATCTCTTCTTTGTTTATGGTAGAGAGAATGCAAGAAAGCGTCTCTTCTTTGTTTATCGTAGAGAGAATGCAAGAAAGCGTCTCTTCTTTGTTTGATATCGTAGAGAGAATGCAAGAAAGCGTCTCTTCTTTGTTTGATATCGTAGAGAGAATGCAAGAAAGCGTCTCTTATTTGTTTGATATCGTAGAGAGAATGCAAGAAAGCGTCTCTTCTTTGTTTGATATTGTAGAGAGATTGCAAGAAAGCGTCTCTTCTTTGTTTGATATCGTAGAGAGAATGCAAGAAAGCGTCTCTTCTTTGTTTGATATCGTAGAGAGAATGCAAGAAAGCGTCTCTTCTTTGTTTGATATCGTAGAAAGAATGCAAGAAAGCGTCTCTTCTTTGTTTGATATTGTAGAGAGAATGCAAGAAAGACAATTGTTTGCAATTTAACTTTCAATGAATTTAATACTTCAATCTATTTTAATTTTAAGGAGTTTTTAATTCCGTTAAAATTCCTCAGCCCTCGAAATTAGGAAAACTATGGTCTGCAAAAAATGCCGACCTAAAATTGTTTTAGGTAGACATCTGGTTGGCAAAAGGTTTTGAATCAAGATTCAATAAATCAACAAACATGCAAATTTATGGCATAAAATTGACAGAAAAACAAACGCTGAGTTTGTAGACTTTGTTTCAAACATTGACTTGTGCTAAAAAATTGAATAAATTTTTCATTTTTATTTTAATTATTTTATTAAAAATTTAATTGAAACGTCGATTTTGCTGTTGCGTCTTTAAACTAATTTGTTTAGAATTTAAATAAAATATTTGTTTTGCCTTTTTAAATTATCTTACATAGGATTTCCATAGAACTATTTTTTTTTTTTTTCTCTTTTAATTATTTTATTTAAAACTTAAATAAAACTTTCGTTTTGCCATTTTTAATTCATTTAAAATAGCAAATAAAATTTAGTTTTAAAATTCTGAGGTCAGCAAAAATTGCTAATCTCACATGTTGGCATTTATATCAACAATGCCGAATGACAACTGTTATTTCAGGTGCTTTCATTTATTTTAAAGTATATTTTTATTATTTATTAATATGCTTAGATTTTTTTAACTTTCCTAACTTAAAATACACAGTAAAAATGTAAATAAATATAGTTTTTGAATAATAAGAATACATAAAAAAGCACAACATATTGTACATATTAAAAAATAAAAACTAGAGAATAACTGACATCAATTAAAAAATGAAGTTTTTTTTTAACTTTTGAATGAACGATCTTGCTTGTTAATGACAAGGCTTTTTTTTTTTTTTTTTTTTTTTTGCATAAAAAAAAGAACAAAAAATATTGTTTTTGATCAACTTAATTTATTTTTTCTTTGTACATATTAAATATGTTTTTATTATTATTATTATTATTATGATCTTTTGAACCTTTAGGAATTTTAAACCAATTGTGATTTCCCCGTTATACGCGGTGTCATCAGGCTGTTAACACCCTAAACATAATATCATCTAGAGCTTTAGTATTTTTTATTTAAATTTTATTGGTGCATCAATGAAAGAGTTGCGACCCACTGTGCTCAACTAGAAAGCTTCAAGTAGATCTCTTAAAAAAGTGGTTGGCATGACATAGTTTATGTCCAAAGAAAAGTTCTTTAAAAAAAGTGCAAATTTTGTTTTAAATCATTAGAAAATTTAAAAAGACTATGATTAAACACACAAATTATATGAAGTCTTTTTCTCAATTGTGCTTTTGGACCTTGTCTGAAAGTGAGAGGGTTGTTATTTGTCAAAATTGGAATGTCAACAATATTGTGATAGTTGTTTGCAATAATTAACTGAGTTTTGTTGGAGTTAAAATCCACAAGCCACTACTTGCCCTAAGCAAGTACAAGAAAAGATCTCAGATTAAAGATCGGCTGCTTGTTCTAAGTGATGAGAAGACTTGTCAAAACATGTGTATAAAGTTGAGTCACATGCAAAAAAAGCACTTTAGATGCAAGACTGTCAAGAAAATAATTATTGTAGATAAGAAACGATACAGGAGAATTACTGGTAATGATTTAATCTTAAAACTTTTATATAAAAGAAAAATTAGAGAGAACACTAATCTTAGGATAGTTAGAAAGGTCATAGGTTAGAAAGGTCATAGTTAGAGAGGTCATAGTGTTTTCTAGAGTTATTAAATATTGAACTTATTTAGCACTTAATAATAGTTTCGCGAGAATTGAAAAGAGTTTTAGAGAACACTTTTGTAAAACTATGATGGAAATGTTGTCTGTTCCACAAGTCTTAGAAGATTAAAATTGAGAATTGACTTTAGCATTGGAAGATTTAATAAACTGAGAATAATAAAGCTTGCTATCAGATAATGAAGCTGTTATCAAAAAAATGATAACAGTTTAATATAGCAACTGCACAACAGTTGAAAAATGTGGAGTAGAATGAAGCTTGATTTAAAACCAAAATAAAGAAATGAAAGCTTCCATACCTGTTTGGATTCAGAAGTTTAGGTAAGAGACGCATTTAAACAAAATATGGATATAAACATATATGTTTGCTATATATTTAGATGCTGCTATACAATATCATTATATATTTGTGTAAACTTTAGTATTTATATGATGTAGTATTTGCCGAAAAAGAAGATGATCAGATAGATGTGTGGTATGACTCTAACAAGTCAAGAAAAGGAGCCAAAATCTTACACAAAGATTAAAAAAATGTATTAAACAACGTTTATCAAATAAGATTAAAGTAGTTTGAGTATTATTATGTAGAGAGGTAGCTGCTTCAGTAGAAAATGATAGAGGCAGAAATAAGAAAACTTGGAAATGGTGCATTATATATATGAATGAGCTTTAGTTAAGGAAAGAAAGTGCTCAAGATTTTTTATATTAAGGCTAAAGCTTGTGATGATGATGATGATGATGATGATGATGATGATGATGATGATGATGATGATGATGATGATGATGATGATGATGATAATGATATAATAATGAGCATGATCATCAATCATATCATCATAGGCTTCGGCTCTGGCTATTTTTTATCAAATCCAGCCCGGGTCCCAGTCGAATTTCAACCCTGCTCACTTACTATGCAGAAACAGAGAGTTTGTAAAAGAGTTAAATAAAACTGAAGGAGAATTGATAATTCACCCTTTTGATATGTTATCAGTAACAACAAAAACTAGTGTATCAAATCAAATATATTTAGATAAACTGTGGTTAAAACAATAAAGTTCAAATAATCTATTTTGATGCTTTAAGAAATGATCTATTATCATGTCATCAAATGATCTATTATCATGTGAAACAAAATTGACAATTATTAATAGAAACTATCAATTTTAAAACAAGTATAATTTTATTTAACGAAATATGATGGTCAGATTATTCAGCTGCTAAATGACCAGGTTTTAATTTGTACAGTAATGTATCTTAGAATGTTATCTATGTACTAAAATAGGTTAATGTATTTCTGTCAATGTAAAAATTAAATGATACAAAAAAAGTCATGTTTAAGTGAACCATAATCTGAAGACATATAGTGTTAAGAAGCGTTACAGAGCTTGCATTTTATGTACAAAATGGAGGTTTACATATGCCTAAAATGTAGAATTTAAAAGTTTTAAAGGAATGTGAAATACTCTTGTAATATTTATTCAAGAAATTTTTTTCTTATTTTATGCTAACTAATTCGTTATGTAAAACATAAGTCTCTATCATAGATTAAAACAAACATCTATTTTTTTTTTCTTTTAAAAAAGTAATAAGGTGTTTTGTTTAAGAGAAATCTTTTCACAATGGATTTAAAAATTTTTTTTAAAGTTCTTATTAATTATCGTGTACAGTTCTTTTGACATAATTTATTTATGAACATAAGTTATGTTTACAAGTATCTAATTTTTACAATGTATTTATAATAATTATCATAAATATGTTGTAACTTATAAAATCAAGTTATAAATTGTTTATAATTCTTTATTAAAAATATTTTATTAAATATGTAAAAATAAAAAAATTAAATAGTTAAATTGTGATAAACAACCAAAAGGTTATGTTTAAAATTGTTTTATGAAGTAAATTACAAAGAACTATAATCTTTTTCAAAAACTAAATTTAGATTTTATCTGTAATTATTACATATGCAACGAAATTTAATAACAAGGCCTGATGTATGGTTGAAGTTGAGAAAATGCTAATTAGATGTATATATCAAAAAGACAAAGGCTATGATTGTGGAATTAAATCCCTTATTAAGCCTATTATCAATAAAGGTGCTTATTTAGCGCACTCCTTTCTTTTGATGCAAAAAAGAAAGTCATCTAAACATTTGATCATCAAATTGATCATCAAATGTTTAGATGACTTTTTTTTTTTGCATCAAAACACAGAGATACAAAATTTTTTTGAAGAGAGCAAAAATTATACCAGAATCTAACAATCAATGAAAATGAAATAATGAAAGACCCATCATGGATAAATAAAAATATTAAAAGTTGATGTAAAGGATTGTATTTAAAAATTATAGATTAAACAATAAATTTTTCAAAACTAAAGTTTTCCAGTAGTAGAAGAATATAAAATACTAAAAAATGAAATAAAAATCCTTGTGAGAACAAATATAAAAAATATAAAACTTTTGCTTTAGTTGCACATCTGCAGCTCTTTGTGAAACTAGAAGCACTTCATATCTTTGTAATCTATTAAATTAGTGTAAATTATTGAATTTGTGTAAAAGTTTTTCTCAGCAACAGAATGCAGCAAGTAGTATTAGGAGAACATGGTTTATGTGCTAATCTAAACAATGTTGTAAAGTTCTTTTTGATGATACAAAAGTTATTCAAGTGATAAACAACATTGTAAAGCTTTTTTCTAATGATACAGAAGTTATTTTAGTGGATCAAGGTGACAATATAAATCAGAAAACATCAGAAAGCTTTTAGATATGTAATATGGAGTCCTTTTAAAAAAAGTGTAGTTGATAAAATCAAAAGAGTTAAACATAAAGCCATAAGAATGGAGAATCTAAAGAGTTTATATGAATGAAGAATTAGTTTTCTGAAAATAGAAACTTTTTCTAAGGATTTTTAAAGTATTTTATAAAAACTTTGTGAACAAAAAAAGAAATAATTTTTAAAACATTTTCTTTACTATTTTTCTCTTGATTCGTATTCATTGACAGCCTTTAAATTTCACACAATAATCTATAATTTTTTTTAAATTATAATCATAAAAACTAATTTTTTGAAAATTATGATCATATAAACTAATTTTTTAAAAATACTGATCATATAAACTTATTTTCCGAAATTATGATCATATTAATTAATTAATATGATCATAATTTTCGAAAAATAATTTTATATTATAAAATTACTTTTCGAAAATTATGATAACATAATCTTATTTTTTGAAAATTATGGTCGTATAAACATACTTTTTGAAAATTATGATCGTATAAACTTATTTTTCAAAAATTGTAATAATGTAAACTTTCAGAAAATTATGATCATATAAACTTTGCTGAATGAACACATTAACTTGTGATCATATAAACTTATGTGAACATATAAACTTATGTGAACATATAAACTTATGTGAACATATAAACTTATGTGAACATATAAACTTATGTGATCATATAAACTTATGTGATCATATAAACTTATATGATCATATAAACTTATATGATCATATAAACTTATGTGATCATATAATGTGTGGATGTGGCGCAGTAGTTGCATCGCTTGCTTTATAAGCAGGAGATCTAGGTTTGAAACGAGTTCTGGACATGTTTTCGCGTCACGGTAAGGAAGGAGGCGTGAACTTCTTGGTTAAATGCAAATCCACAGTGCTCTGTGACAAGACCGTTAGGTCTTCTTGGGGCACCTAAATGACAAAATAATAATAATAATAATAATAATAAATGAATAAATAAACTTATGTAATCATATAAACTTATGTGATCATATAAACTTATGTGAACATATAAACTTTGCCGAATCATAAAAACCCAAAACTAAAAGATTATTGTATGAAATTTGAAATTTTTCAATGAATATAAAATTAGACAAAAATATTAAACAATAAAATATTTATAAAATTGTTGCTCCCATGTTAAGAGCTAAACATTACTGGTTTGTAACCATTTACAAACCATTAATAGATTTTTTGTTACTCAGTGAAATGTATACTTAAAATATAATTTTTTTTGTAGGATCAACATGATGATCATGAAATTGCTTTAAGAATGGCAACAGACCCTAATTTTTCTCCACCATATTATGCAATCTCAACAGAAGATGTATGTGATTTTTTTGTTGTAAAAATTGTATTAATTTCATGTTTTTTGAATGACAATTTTTGTGTAATTTTGTGTCAAATCTGTTAATCAAATCAATGCAAATTTTTATTTAAAATTTTAAGTAAATCTAAAATAATGCTGAGATTTATTCACAACTACTTCATATTGTTGCAGAGGATGCAAAGATTTATAAAACAAAATTAAAAAATTGAATGTTTATATTTAAAACTGTTGTCTTTTGAAAAAAATGATTTTTTAACTTTTAAACTTTTGACTGATTTGTTGATACAAATAGTATCAATACATCAGTTAACATTTATTTTACTAATTGCATATTAATCTGTCTCTAAAAATAGAATTATTTTATGTTATTATGGGATTGATATTTGGAAAATTATTTTACAGTACATCATAATTTCTTAATAACCTAAGTCACTGGATTGGTATTTAGACATTTTGTGACGTTATCAAAACATTTTATAGCTGGTTATGATTTGAGTTTAACACATTGTTTGTATTAAGTTAGAATTTGCTTTTTAAAAAATAGAGTTTAAAAATCTTTTTGAAATTTCTAATTAAAATACATCTCTATGTTACCTTCATATTAGTTAGTAGTAAACAGCTTTTTAATTTGATAAATTAGGTTTGAGTAGCTTTGTGTTATTATAGCTTATGTAGCTTCGTGTTAAACTTTCTCTGATATATTTTTTTGTGTCAAATAGCAATAGAAAATGAATGCTGCATTGCAAGTTTTAACCCATTCTGTACTGAAGTTTTTAAAAATTCTTTTAAGAACTATTCATGTATTTTATGGTTTTGGCTATAATTGATGTTTTTATGTTTTTAGTTTTTTGTTCCAAAATGTGTTATTAATAATTTTTCACTCCTTAAACTACATTAATATTTTTATAATGAACTCCTTTTGTGTGTGTGTTATTACAGAATTTTATCAGTTTCATTAATTTGGTTTTAAATTTCTTGATTAAGTTATCTTGTTATTAAGTTTTAATGATTTCTTTTCAATAGTTTTCTTATGTCATGTTTTTTTATCTATTTTGGGATATTTTTTTTTTATACAAAAAGCAATTGTCAATATGATCTTTTATGTTTGTTTGTTTTTTTTTGACATTATTGGTTCTTGCTGTCCTTAAGTACATATTTTAAAGTGAATAAAAATTTGGGTAATATATTATATACATGTATTTAAAATTTAGCATCAGTGTTGAGTTATCATATATTTTTATAAAGTTAACAATTATCTTGCTTTTTATCTTTGTTTGTTAAATATTTTAACAATCATTTTTAAATAAATTTACATTCATTAAATAACCTTATAATTCATATTGATTTTAGATAATTTTTTTAGTAAACTTTATATAGCAAATTTATGTAAAGATGACTTTTTTAGTTTTGAAATTGCTTTTTAAAAAAGGTTTTTTCATTATCATTAATTTTTTAGATCGATCATATAATGAACATTGATTAGAAATGATTAACTATTTTATGAGTAGTAGACAAAGATTTTGTTAAAGCCAAAATTTTAAAAAACATTGTTAATAGCTTTTTTTTTTTTTTTTTTTTTTAATGACAGTTAAAAAATTCCCCCATAAAAAATTGCCCCCTCATTTAAAAAATAAAAACAACTAAATTGTGAGAAAGCAAACATAAGGGGATAATGTTGTTAGAAATAAATAGAAAGTATAAGTTTTTAAATTAAGGTAATATGTATTTTTTTCAAACAATTATATTTAAATTTCATTGGTAATTTTTTTTTACAACAATATCTTTTAATTTAAAGATATTTAGACTTTAAATGATTTTTAATGTGGTTTCAAATTAATTTGATTACAATACGGTACTTTAAAATCTGCAACTGATCTATGGTATATACATATGTGTTTATCATTAACATATATAATAATAAGTAATAAAAATACATATTATAAATACAATTAAATAGCAGTATAAATAGTTAATTCATATTGATAAATATAATAGTTAAAATAAAAAAAATATTATTGTAAATTTCACCTTGGTAGTAGTAACAAAAAAAAACAGTTATTTAAATGCTTCAATAAATGTCTTTAAGATGTTAACCAACCTTGTGGCATTGTGTTATACACGGTATTCTCAACTGCTTATGAAATTGAAATTCCAAATTTAAAATTAAAAAAAAAAATAAAATATATAAACAAACAAATGTATAAGAAAATAAATTTTACACAATTTACAAAAATAAAGTTACACAATAAAATATTACAATACTTTGTATTTCTTGCTAATATATTTTTATATTTACTGGACTAAATTGGTTTATACAGGTTTTCTATGATCTTAGATATATTGATGCATAGTTTTGTAGGGAGAAAGGAGGGTCAGTTAATTTTTTGTATTAATTTAACTTTTTTCTTATAAGCGTATTAGTATCATTAAAAATTTTAAAGACAAGTTTTTTTTTAGCATGATTTTAATTTAAACTAAGTTTTCTTGTCTGGATTGTTGAACTTTGTGTGAAAATATCAGATTAAGTATTGTATACTTTGTATAGTAACTTAATGAACTGCCAGAAGCTAGATGTTTTTAGAAAACAATAAGTTTTATGCTCTTGGAATTTTCTTTACATCAAATGTTTTATTATCACTTGTGAATTTGTTTTTTTTTTGTTTGATAGCCAGAGAGATCTTTTTCTAAATTTGCTTTCAGTAATTTAGTGCATAATGCCCAAGAAATAAATGAATAAAAGCTCAAGATACACACAAAGTAGAATAGTTCAATATATCAAGTATTCCAGGTATCAAGTTTCAACAGTGGTTTATTTAAAATTTAGCATTAGTTTTGAGTTATCATACATTTTTATAACAAGTATCTTGCTTTTTATCTTTACTTGTTAAATATTTTTACAATCATTTTTAAAAAAGTTTACATTCATTAAATAACCTTAGTTTAATTATTTTATTCATTACTTTTAAGCTGGAAAAATTATTATAAAAACAACAATCATACAAACAAAAAAAGCAAAAAAACAAAGACAAATAAAAATTCTTTACAAAAAAAATGTTTTCTAAATAAATAAATAACAAAGATAAGCAAGGTCATTTGTTTAGAAGATAAGTATAGATAAGCAAGATCATTTGTTTAGAAGATAAATATTGATAACAAAGGTTGTTTGTTTAAAAGTGTATAGTGAAACATATTTATATATACATATACATAACATCATTATCTTTAAGCTTAAATTTTGTATTGACAAATTAAAAGTTGTTAAACTTTAAACAGAATTTAATATCTGAAAAACCAACATTGAGCTTTAAAAAAAAAAGATGTTGACAAGAAAAAGGAATAATTGAGTTTAATTATTTCTCATTTTTAACAAATTGATAAATTAAGAATTAAGCAAAAGCAGGAAGAAAGAAATTTTTTTTGTTTATAACTTTTTTTGTTTATAATAATGTCTGTTATAACTGTCATGTTTTTTATTTTGAAGAGCTCTCGTCATCCTGTTACTGCTCTACGTGATGCTGATTCATCACATTTTCAAGAGCAGTATTATGCCATACACCAGAGAAGTAGAGAACAAATTGAACAGGCATGTAGAATTAATCAACAAGCTCGTGAGCGTTTAGAAAGAATTCATTATAGTATAAGTACATTACGTTATTCAAATATTCGCAATAGAAGTTCACGTGTGAGAAGGCGCGATGAAAGTTTAGCTGATAACGCAAGACGAAATTTAGAAGAACAGGAAGTTAATTCAGTAATTTTATTCATATACTTTTTACTATATATTAATAGTATTTAGTTCTTTTCAAAAATTTTTTAAAAAAACTATTCATATAATTGAATAAAATAATACTTCAATAAATTAACAAAAAAGTAAATATTATCATAATCTAAAAGCCTGTGGCCGCCAGATCTAAATTATTATATAAAAGTTAAAAAAACTTTAGCGTCTTCGTCCAACTCAGTTACGATGGTCAACTATGTACTTTGGGTTATAGTTGATCATCTTGGCTTTGGCAGGTAATAGGTACCAAAGGTGTTTAAAATGTAGACTAAAATATATCAAATTATAATTTTTTAATAATTTTCTTATAGAATAAAAAATAGCATTAACACCAATTGCACAACTTCTAAAAATTGTGACAGTATTTAAGTTGCAAGTACTATTACTTGGGTATCTATAAGATGTTTCCTTATTAGCCAGACACTTTCTACAGCTATAACCCCTAGCCAGACAAACATATTGTTAGCTGTAGATGCAAGCGCTAATTAGTTTCATCAAGTAGGTACGATGATAACAATATTTAAAGTTATTTGAATACTAATTTTTTATTTCATTTTTGTTAGTTACTTATTTTTGTAGTTATTTATGACTAAAAAATAAATAAAAAATTATTAATTATAATTTTTAAATTGATAAATATAATTTTTAAATTGATAAATAATAATAATAAAACAAGTAAACTTGTGAACAACTGTTTGGAATCTATGAAATTCATTCTTAAATTTCAGGTTAATACTCTAAATTTGTTAAAAACTGATTGCTTAGTATCAGTTGTATAGATTTTAAAATTTTTTTGATTACACAACTTGGTTTATATTTTTGCTATAAAAGCTTTGAAATAAATTAACTTTTTATTAATACTTTATAATTAATTGTATATTCTTAATTGTATTACTTTAAATATATTCAAAGTTATTATATTCATTGACTGACTTAAATAGGGATTGATGAGTGTACACGCATCTGAGGATTTTTGTTTAGACAGTCTATCTTTCAATTTTTAAGCCTTTTTTTGTTGTATTTCCTAAAAAATTTGTAACAATCATCATGGCTATTATCATTATTGTCATGTTTTTAGTTGTCATGGTTTTTGTCATTGTTATTATTTTTAAAAAAATATTGTAGCTGATGAAATCCTTTTAGAATTTATTTTTATTACAAATTTTTATTGAATGCTTATAGAAATTATTACTTCTTTTTTTTCTTGTAAATTTTTTAAAATTGGAAATTAAAATTGAAAATTTTTTAAATTGAATAGCAAATATTTTTAGTTATGTAACTAAGGTTTTTGTTCTTACAAAAAAAAATTAGACTTTATAATCTGATAAATTTTAGTTTGTATTTTAAACACCTTTGGTACCTGTTACCAGTTTAAGACCCCATGGCCAAACCTACATAGTAGACCATCATTTTAGCTTTTATAAAGTATTCTTGTATGATTTAACTAAAGAAGCATTTTGGGAGAAATTAATTTTAAAATAATAATTCACATTTCGAGATTCTGTTACAAAATATTTCAAAAATTTGTTTATAAAGTAAATTACACCTAAAAGGTCACATAAAAGTGAGTTCTAATTAGAACAACTTAAATGAACTTGTCTCTACAGCACACTTGTTTGTCAAGGTTTGTTTTTCAGAATTTTAGAGTTGAAAGAGGGTTGGAACCACAATTAAGTAGCCTTCTCGTCTGTAATGGCCTTAGGAGGTGAATTAACACTGAAAAAAAAAATCTATTTGTTGTTTTTAAAAGCATCAATAGACATGGTTTACAACTGTTTAGTTTTAGCTTTTTTTATGTTTTATTTTACTCATTGAATGCCAAGCAACCACTAATTTAGTTAGTAACAGAAGAGTGCTAATGAACAAGAGAGTGATAGAAGACTTTTTTTTTTAGCAGTTTACTCTCAGCCTTAAAGAAATAATAAAAAATAAAAAATAAATTTTTAATGTGATAGGGTATCTATTTTCTTACAAAAAAAATCCTACAAATATAATTTATACAGGTATACGTACCGCAAAAACAACCGTACCGCAAAAACCACAATGTTGGCTTAAGTGACCTAGCATGTAAAAAAAAATTCAGGATTCAAAAAACTTGATATATTATGATAGCTTATATGTCAGCATATAAATTAAAGCAGTTTTAGTGGTTTTTTTATTTGTTAAATGTTGGTATCTGCACTAGAGTAAAAATTTCAATTATAAAAACGTGTAGTTTTTTTTGTTTTGTGGAGCCTAGAAGCCGTATCAGAGAATAAGTTAGCAAAATATAGTTTTTCTATTACCTATGGATTATAACTAGATACTGAAAAAAGTTTTTTTTTCTCAAGTAGTTATAAATCTTTATAACACCCTCATAAAGAAAGGAAGTATTATTGTTGTTTTTGGGGTACATTTTATAGAATTCACTTTGCAGACCATGTTTTGAAATAAAAAACAACAACAATAAATTACCATTGTATTAGATTTTTTTTAAAGAAAATAATATACATTTATCTTAAAAACAATATTTGAACGCAGCAGTAATAACACATCTAAAATGGCTGCAAACTTTATAACATTATTATAACAATAGGTTACTGCAACAATGTTAAGATAACATAGATAAAATGTTAAGATAACATAGATAAATAAAATACTTTAACTGATTACTTTAATTCAAAAAAAGATTATTGATTGTCGTTGCATTCGTTATAATGGTCGTATATCAGTCTTTTAGATGTGGAGAAGTGCTGGTTTGCTGGTAAAAGCATAACCGGTTTAACACCATTAACTCTGCAACTCACTTTGCTGCAAATTGAATGGAGAACATCAAGATAATTAGGACATTGCTTTAGGCCAAAAGCTTGACATTTCCTTTGTTTGCAAAAACATTCAACTTTACATTTAATAAACTTTTTTTTTAGCTTCTTCTTTCTTTTTTTTGGCTTCCTCCTTTGCTGTTATCTTTCGTCGTTTCTTTTCTATTATATCTTTCACTTTTGCTGCAACATCTTTTGCACGCATCGAACCATAGACCTGAGTAACACAAGTAGATATTTTTTCAAGGTTTGGTTTAATTTTCTTAATAGTTAGCAGATCAGGAATATTTTCTAATTGGAGGCTTTGCTCAGCCATTTCTCTAATCAAGATTTGAGACTGGTCAAACTTATCTTTCCAGTAACTTGCCGAACCTTTCCTTATACCAACTGGTGACGAAATGGTTGATTCGGATTTTTTAAAAAAAGTTGATGCTGGTTCTTCTTTATGAATGCATGCAGCAGCTCGCTCAAATTTATCTTGTTGCATAAAGTTAACATTTAATTCAAAAGGTGTTATTCCAACTCTTTTTGCACTAGAAACAAGAACCAATTTCAATGTCCATTTCTCCCATAATTGCCTAAGATGGTCATAAATCCCTCTCGATTAATTGATTGCATTGGGTTGAAAAGATAATTCTTGGCAATTCTGTACTCATGATGAAGATTTTTATTAACCTGGTCAAGCAACTGAGTTACACCAGTGTTGTCGGGAGGAGAAATAAATAACCAAATTTGTTTTGAAAGGAGGTATATTAAACCGTCATAACTGAATCGTGAACTATGTCCATCAGATAATAAAACAACAGGTCGTTCTATTGCCTTCTCAGTAAGGTAATCATCAAGCTCTTGGCAAGCCGGCTTAAAAGTGTCATTATCTGAAATCCCATTTTCAGATGTTGTAACAAGGAGGTGACTGATTTTTTCTACAGCTACTTGTGGTGTCATCTGGCTTGTTATTCCAACCGAGGAAAAAATGACTTGACATATACAAACATCACCTGAAAAAGACACAAAAGGGTGAATTGAAACACATTCCCTGTTTTCTTTATGCATTTTTAAGCATTGTTCACCTTTCCCTGCATATACCAAGCCTGTTGAAGTACCATCAACACCATAGTTCACAAATTGCAGTGTCTCATCATTAAATATTCTTGTTGTGTCAATGTCACTCTTCCATACACCCTCGTCTACTTTTTCAGCATTTTTCATAATACCGGCTGTCTGAAGTTCCATTGCAAGATCATTCAAATGATTATAAGCCATTTCTTGGGTACAGTTAAGTGCTCTGTTTATTGATACCTGACCCTGGCGTTTAATTGTTAGGCTTGAATGCTTTGCATGGAATCGTGTTCAAAATGAACGACTAAGTCTGAAACAATAAAAAATGGTCTAAAAAATTCTATAGAAATAACCCTAAACATTTGACTTGCACTTACAAAAGATCAACATTCACTGCTATATATATACATATATATAAAGCAAGGCTACAAATTATTATACAAAAAGCAAGGCTACAAATTAACATAACTATTGAGTAATTTTGATTATGTAAATTTCATTTTTTCTTTAGATCAAACATGAACAAAAAATCATTAGACTTACTTCCCATTAACCAGAGCTGATTTTGCATTAGGAGACAACTTAATCAACTTCCGACCTCCTTTGCATCTTTTATTCATGTAGTCCCTTATCCTTAAAATATCAAGAAGGAGTTTGGTCAACTCTGTCTTGTTGATACCTTGCAGACTTCTATTCCTGTTCTTGACATACTTCACTACAGCTACCTCCTCTTCAAGTGTAAAAAAACTACAATAGCGACGTTCCTTGCCTAGGAAAAACCAAAGCTCTTTAGATATCTTATTAAATTAAATCATTATTCTGTAAAAAATTTATACTTACCATTTTTTATTATTCGATCTAATCTTCTATTAATCGTTTCTCTATCTTTTACTAGTGGAAACAAACCAGTCTTCAAGGCCTTATAGCCTCGCACACTGTGGTCGATACAAAATTGTACTGCCTTTTCTAATTGTAAATTCTTTGCATCTGTGAACTTCCTCCCAATTGATGCCTCAGGCTTACTTTTTTTCACAAATAGATTGTAATTTTTCCTGTCTGAGCTGAAATTTTCGCTTCATTTTCTATGTTAATTTTTTTCTTACTCTATTTGATTAAAAAAATTATTGTTAAACTTTTTAGAGTACATTAGTTGCTTACAGAACATATCTAAATACTAACTTTCAAGTAAAAATTTAGATTTTGCTCTAGGTTCAAACACAAAGTAAGTTTTAATAAATTCTTGCAACTATTATGTTCTAAAAATGATATTGATTTTTAATACGTAAAAAACACGATGCAAACTTTGTTTAAAACACTGCAATGATATCTTTAGAATCAAGATGTTACATAGACTCAATATAGTAAAAAGCGAGAACACATGTATAGCCTATAAAATGTTATTTTTCAAACATCAATGATGTTTTTGGGGTACCTATCTTGTGGTTTTTGTGGTGCATCGGGTATTTTCTCCAAGATTAAGTTAGCAGTAACTGGTTTTATTTAAAGCAGATCAAATAAAATTAGGACACGCCAAATTTCAGCTTCATAGGTTCACTAGCTGCAGAAATACAATGGATAAATTGAATGCGGTTTTTGGGGTACACATACAAAAAACAACAAAAGTTTAGTTAACATTAATAACAAAACTATTTCTTAAAAATTAATCAAACTAGCTGGGAAGAACTGATTTTAAGCAACTCTAAATAAATTCAAAACCGTTTTTATTAAAAGCAAATAATAAAAAAGTTATTGAGATGTGCTTTTTTTGGTGTTTTTGCGGTACGTGTACCTGTAATGAAAGCTATGTACAAAAGAATTAATAGTTGTTATTTATATTGTCCATATTTTCAGAATGTTTTTATTTTAGTTGTATATTACTCTTAAGTTACTTAAGTTTTTTAAACATTCAACATAAAAATTAAATTTTTTTTTAAATTTAGGCTGATGTTGAATTTGTCCGTGAAATGCGTCCTCGCAATTTAGACTACCTACACACTCCTTTGAATGATCCTATCTATCCTGTTAGTATAAAATTTATATATTATTATTATTTAAAATAGTATTAGAATTTTAAAAATTGTTTTAATTTTTTTCAGCGCACACTACTTAGTCGTAATTTAGTATCAAATAATTTTCTTATGTAAGTTGTTTTTTCTTTTTTTTTTTTTTTGAAGTTTTTCTTTAATTAAAATTAATATCTTTTTATTAAATTAATATATTTATTTTTTAATTGAAATTCTTAAATTAATGTATTAATTTTTTAATTAAAATTATTAAATTAATGTATTTATTTTTTAATTAAAATAAGCTTAAAATTGGCTAAAAAAAGTTTTATTTAAATAGAATTAAAATTTATATTGTATTTTTTTTTTTTTTTTTACTTTATTAAATCTTTATTTAAGTTTATTTATTTTAAATTTTAAAAAAGGGATAGTATTTGGGATCGTGTTCCTCCCCCTCGATTGCATCATTTTCAAACAGAAGATTTTGAGGTAAATGTTTAATTTATTAATTTTAACTTATATTCATTTTTTACTAAATTTTTATTACTTTTTTATTCCTTTTATAAATTATTTCTTGTTTTTATTTTAGGCATTGTGGGATTTAACTGAAAGAATTGGCCCTGCTAAATTACGTGGGTTGTCAAAAACAGGTTAGTTTTTTACATTGACAAAATAATTTTATCTTTTTGATATAATTATTTTTAAGTAGCAAACAAAACTGTTTATAAATAATTCTTATTAAAATACAGATCTATATTTACAATATATAAAAGTCCAGCGCTTAGCTTATTTTTTTAAAGTAGCATTGTTTAATTCTGTTTGTTGGTGATATATTACATTGGTAATATAACACCAAAGTTTACCCAAAAATTGGTAAAATCTATGCTAAGTTGTTTGGAAGCCATAATGGTTGTGGTGCAATAAATTATTTTTAATATTTACTTGCTATAAATATGCTATAAAAGATAATATTTACTTGTGATATTTTATTTAAAGAAAATAATAATCTTATCAAAGTTAAAAATAAAAAGCTATAATTGCTAAATTACAATTTAATTCTTTAAACGATTAAATTTTATTGTTATATTTAAAATTAAAAAAACTGCAAACATATTTTATAAAAAAGTGAATAGGTCTATTAATTAGGTAAAAAATAAAGTTTTGATAACATTTTAATAAAAACTTATGGTGAATGTTTAATAAAATCCAAATGGTCATTAAGTAAAATTGAATTGACCAATAGGATTTATCATATTAGTAAGACTTAATATAAGTAGTTGTTTTACTTTGATAAAATATTTACAATTATAAAATGTGCATTATTTATAAGGAGTAAAATTGTTAATAAAAGTCACTTAATATTTCACTTGTAAAGTAAGTCATAGATTGTGGTTATGTCTTTTTTGACTGCCTATTTCACATTTGCATAGAAAATAAGTTCAATATTAAATACATAGTTTGTTTCTTGTAAATTTTTACTGAAAGTAATGATAATTAATATATAACCATTGAATATTTTTATTCAAGTAAATTTTAGAAATAACATTTTCCCTGATTTTAATTTATAGAAGTATTTTTATAATGATGACCTTTTTTGTTTTTGTTTTTTAGAATTAGACACTATCCCTTCATTCCGTTTCAGCACTGGGACTGCTAAAGAGACAAATAGCAAATGTGTTGTTTGCATGAGTGAATATGTCAACAGAGAAAAACTTCGACGGCTACCATGCACTCATGATTTTCATTCTAAATGTATTGATAAATGGTTAAGGGTAGGATATCTTGTTATTTGATCTGTTTTAACTCAAATTATTTTAGTTGGGAGATGGATAGGAGTTGGGTTGCTTGGAAAGGGGTTTATGACTATTTTAAATCATGAGGTAAGTTGTCATATTTTGGGTAGACATTTTCATAAAGTGTTTTCACAGAATCTTCACTCAAATTTTTTTATCTGCAAAATAGTACTAATTTTTTACATTTTTTAAAAATCACATTTTATTATTAAGACAGCTTTATAGGAACAGTTTTTTCACTGCTGAGCAGATAAACAGTTAAATATCTTGATAGATAGATATCTCAGATTTTATTCGGCAGTAAAGTAATCAATATTATTTTTATTATCAAAATATTTGTTGTAATTGGTTATAACCAGTGAATGTTTTTAATAAAACTATGACAGTCGTTTCTTTATTACAAGTCATAAATTAATTAAAATTTGTCCAATTTATTTTTGGTAAATTATTCCAGTCATTTGCCGCTCTATTTGTAATAAATTCATTTAGGGTCAAGTAAATTTACAAATTTCTCTTGAATACTTCATACTGTGATTTTCTGAATTTCTCTTAAGTACTCATACTGTGACCTCTTGTTGTGGCATTAGGTTTTAAAACTTGTTGATTATACAGCATTTCTAATTAGATACCAAACTAAAACAGAGAACTTGAGTAAGGGTTGAAACCACAATTAAATTTAAAAAAAAATTAAAGTTAAAAAATATTACCTCCTTGACTTTAATAAACACCCTCCTCTCTCTCACGCACGCGACTTTAGGGAGGTGAATAACAAAAAAAAAAAAAAAAAAACTGGTAAAGCAACCCTTGTCTGAAGTTGGCAGTTTTTTCCGATTTTAAAACATAATTTTATTTACTATTTCAAATAAATTAAAAAAAGTAAAATGAACAATTCATTTTACTTTTTTTAACAATTCAAAAAAAGTAAAATGAACAATTCAAATTCTAAATAAAATAATAATATTAAAAAAAAATTTATAAATTTTAACCAAACATTTTAGAGTCTCAAAATAAAATTAAAAAAAATAACTATAAAAATAAGCATATACAATGTTATGAAAACAGTAAAAAAAAAATTGTTAAATATACTGGATTTGAACATGATCAGTTTGTTAAAATATACAATTTTTTAAATACAAGAAAAATAGAAAAAATATTAAAACCTCAACTCAGCATTGTCCAAAAAATACACATATTTTAGTCAATGAGGCAAAATCTGGTTGGAAACCAAAATTAAACAGAAAATCAGTTATATATATTTTTAGTGTAGCTAACAAACAGATTTATTATTTATTATTTCTTATTCTACTAATATAAGCTTGCTGTAAATAATATAAAAATTAATCTGCTAATGTAACTATAATTTAAATCATGAACATTTTCATACTTGCTTTGCATTTTATTTTTAAACTATTTAAGTAACGGTATGCGAAATGCAAACACTTTTAGATTCAAATCTTTTTCCTTTTTTAAAAGTTTTTTTATAGTTATATTTTTGTTTTTTGCACATTTTTTTTATTGATTTTGTATTTCTTTAATAGTGAACTGTAGCAAGTACTAGGTTGGTTGAAAAGTTCGCGGAGCGGAAATGAAAAAACAATTTTATGATTCAAAAAATGACTTTATTCTTCAGTATATTCTCCCTTAGGAGCAATACACTTTTTCCAACGATTCTCCAATTCATGTATCCCATCTCTGAAGTGCGATTCCGGAAGGCCTTCAAAATACCCATTTACGGCTGCAATGACTTCTTCATGTGATGAGAAACGCTTTCCACGTAGAAATTTTTTGAGATGCGGAAAGAGGTGGAAGTCGGACGGAGCCAGATCTGGTGAATAGGGTGGATGTTCCAAGCGTTCGTACTTTAATTCGACCAATTTCGCCTTTGCAACATCGCTGATATGAGCAGGTGCGTTGTCCTGGTGATAAATGATTTTTTTATGCAGCAAACCAGGTCTTTTCTCACGAATTTTTTTATCCAACTGGTCCAAAAGATTTTTATAATATTCACCTGTTATCGTTTTACCGGTTTGAAGGTAATCTATTAATAAAATTCCTTTCGCATCCCAAAAAACTGATGCCATAACCTTCTTTGACGATTTTGACGCCTTCACTTGCTTCGGAGCTGAACAACCGGGTTCTGTCCACTCTGCAGTTTGTTGTCGCAGCTTCGGGTCATAGTGGTAAACCCAAGTCTCATCCATGGTTACGAATCGACGCACAAAATCTGTTTTATTCTTTTGAAAACGGGCCAAATGTTCTTGAGAAAGTTTTACTCGAGTGCGTTTCTGATCCAGAGTTAGCGAATGCGGCACCCATCTTGCCAACAGCTTTCTCAGACGTAATTCATCGTGCAAGATGTGTAATACCCGTTCATCTGAGATGCCCACAGCCTCAGCAATTTCACGTTTGGTCAATCGTCTATCATCCATAACCATGTCATGCACAGCATTAATCGTTTCTTCAGTAGTAGCACTTTTTGGACGTCCAGAGCGAGGGTCATCTTCAAGGCTTGAACGCCCACGTTGAAACTCCGCAGCCCATTTGCATACTGTTGTTTTTGAAGGAGCATCATCACCCAACACATTTACCATTTCATTATGAATTTCCATGGGCTTTAAACCTTTTTTCACAAAGAATTTTATTACAGCACGATGTTCAATATTTTCCATTTTAAAAAATACTATGACACGTCTAATTTCAATAGCTTGTAAACAAAGACTGAAATGACATATCGACTTGAAATTTTTTATGCGTTCATACGAAGAATGAATACGTTTAATACAGTTATAAATTTGTTTCTACTACTGCAACATAGGTGCCGCTCCGCGAACTTTTCAACCAACCTAGTATTTTAATTTTTTATCTAATATAAAAGTTTTGTTTTGTAGATTTCAAATTAAATGAATTATTTTTACTAATTTCTAAAATACCAATATTGATTTTGTAAATTTTTAGGTACACATTTGTAGGTAACCACATCTAAACACATTTGTAGGTAACCACATCTAAACACATTTGTAGGTAACCACATCTAAACACATCTGTAGGTAACCACATCTAAACACATTTGTAGGTAACCACATTTAAACACATTTGTAGGTAACCACATCTAAACACATTTGTAGGTAACCACATCTAAACACATCTGTAGGTAACCACATCTAAACACATTTGTAGGTAACCACATCTAAACACATTTGTAGGTAACCTTATCTAAACACAATTGTAGGTAACCACATCTAAACACATTTGTAGGTAACCACATCTAAACACATTTGTAGGTAACCACATCTAAACACATTTGTAGGTAACCACATCTAAACACATTTGTAGGTAACCACATCTAAACACATTTGTAGGTAACCACATCTAAACACATTTGTAGGTAACCACATCTAAACACATTTGTAGGTAACCACATCTAAACACATTTGTAGGTAACCACATCTAAACACATTTGTAGGTAACCACATCTAAACACATTTGTAGGTAACCACATCTAAACACATTTGTAGGTAACCACATCTAAACACATTTGTAGATAACCACATCTAAACACATTTGTAGGTAACCACATCTAAACTTAGTGTTGTTCTACTGGTTTTTACTAAAGTAAGCCTAGTAGCTTTTCCCATCCGAATTCCACTGATTTCTGTTTCTTTTTTTTTTTAGTCGAACAGAACTTGTCCAGTGTGTCGTGATGATGTCAAAACCGCAAACCAATCAGAATAAATTTCAAGATACAAAACCATTGTTTGGTAATGCGCGTTTAAAACGCTTAAACCTATATGACTTAAATTTTTTTATATAACTTGGCTAATTTTTTACAAAAAAAAAACTAAATAAAAATATCCCAGATATTTTTTTAAATAGTAAGCGCAACATATTTGTATAAATGTAATGGTTTTTGTTTTTTGAAATTAATGTAACTAAGAAACAAATATTTTTCAATCTTATAAAAAAGTATATTGTTGAATAAAAAAATTGTTGAATAAGTTTTAAATTTAAGTACACTTAATTTAATTTGGATAATTGTATTTTACTGAAAAATAAATAATTTTATTGATTTTTTTTGTGTGTGTCTATAACTAAATGATAATGGTATCCTTTGATGATAATGGTATCCTTTAATGAGTAGATGATAATGGTATTCTTTGATGAGTAGATAATAATTGTAACATTAATTAGATGCAAATGTTATTCTTTGATGAACGTTTGAAAAGAGCAATGCAGCGATTTATAAAAACAGTGTTTTCAGTGTACAAGCTGTATTTTTTTTATAAAACATCTTTGTTAATTATATTTTTTAAATGTTTTCAAAAATCTTTTCTAAGGAGAAGCGGTTGATAAAAAAGTTCATATAACACTCGAAAAAAAAAATGGTGCTACATCAGTAATTCAAAAATGTTTCCTTAAACAAAAAAATCTTTATTTTCTCTAAATCTTGTTGGTAATCAGAAATCAAAGTGAAAGATTCTTACACTAAAAAAAACGTTAATTTTTGATAACAGTAATGCATATTAGGTACGTAAAAGACACAAGTAAAAACTTTTCTAAAGCTTAAAATGCAAATAATCATTAAAGAAATTAACAATTATCCTCAAGGGTAATTACCGTATAAACTAAATACTTTTACTTTCGCTGTTTATAAAAAAACGAGTATAAATTGATTATATTTACTTTTGTATAGCTTAATGGTAATGGTATTTAATGATAATTAGAAAAATGGTGGAGAACCGTAAATAGGGGACAAAGCTTACTACTTAAACTCTCAAAATTTATTGCTCTAGGCTAGATGAATCCTTTAAGCTGTAATTTTTTTTTTTTTTAGAGCTTTATAAGTTTGCGGAGAGAATGAAAAAATATCAAACAATTCGATAGTGAAAAAGTTGACGTCTAAAATAATAAAAAATTTTAAAACAGATATAGCATGTATTTAGTTTTCAGAAACTCGCTTAAATTTCCTTGATTTTTAGCATCAAAAAATATATATTCTAAAAGCCCACCATTGTTTTATGGATTTATTTAGAAAACAGCATTAAAAAAACATATCTAAACGGTCTTTTACCCTATTTTTATTTGGAACTTTTCTTTCCGGTTCCCTGGAACCAAAAATTCAACAAAAGAGTTAAAAGATATCAGAGGAACTTTCCTTGATATCTTTCAACTTTTTGGTTAATTTTATTTTATTTGCACAATTAAAACTTTAACTTTCCTGGAAAATCTAAACCTAAACATAGAACTTCTCCACAAAAATAATAACAACTATAGAAGTAAATTTTTCTTTTAGTGGTTGAGATTAAATTTTTGTGTGTACTTAATAAAGTGTATAATTCTTAGTATAATCATACTAATATATCAACCGTAATAAATAGCATAATGTATAAATATACTCGTATTCCGAAAAATACATGGAGTAACGAAAACTTAATTAACTTGAATAATGATAACCTCTCCATAACCGTCAATAACTACACTTTCAATGAAGAAAAAATTGAACAAGAATTAAAAAAAACATGCGAAAAAATCAAAAATGCTGCTGATATTATAAATTGCTGATATTATAAATCTTACAATTAAATAGTAGTAAGTCCCCAGATATCTGTGGGGTAAGCTTTTAAATATAAATTGCGATTCCAACGTCAGGCGCTTTGTAAATACACTTCTTCAGCACAGTTTTATACCACTTATAAACAAACCAACGCGTGTAACTTGTTTAACTTTTTCAATCATTGACAATATTATAACAAGTAACTACATGCTTTATAAAACTAAAAGTGGTATCATAAAATCCGATTTAAGTGACCATATTCCAAATTTTCTGATAACCAATTGCTTAACTATTGAAGATAATAATTCCTCTGCCACCTACATCAGACAAATAAACAGCAATTCAAAAAAAAAAAAAAATCGCGATTTGATACATTAAAACAATTGGGAACTCATAGCTGAGTGCAATGATATGAATAATGCTTATGATCTTTTTATACGCTTATTTTTTAAACAAAACGAAAATGCTTTTCCAAAGACCAAAAAAACAATTCATTCTAAAAACCTGCGTAACTCTTGGATGACAAAAGAACTTGGATGACAAAAGAAATCTTTAAAAAAAAAAAGCAAAAGCTCTACGATAAAAAAAAAAAAAATAATGAAACTTTAACTAATGAAACTAAAAAATACAAAAACTCTTTTGAAAAATTAAAAAAACAAATTAAAAAAAAAACTATTACTCCAATCTGCTCAAAAATTCAATAGATAATGCTAGAAAAAAATGGGATATAATAAAAGAAGCAACTGGAAAAAAGAAATTAAACATAAACACTGTTTTTCCAAAGCGTTTACAAACAAAAATGAACACAGATTTTTTGACAGAGAGAAAATTGCTTATATGTTTAATAAATTTTTTATAAACGTTGGTAAAAATTTAGCCGAAAAAATAATTCCGGGAAACAAAACGTTTAAGTCTTTGTTTAAAAAAACACACTAAGTTAGGAATGAGTTTGAAATATCCTCGGATGAACTTCGAACAGCCTTAAATTTACTAAAAACCAACAAGAGTCGAAATTAATCGACGAAATCAATGCAAGTGCTTTAAAATCAGTATCTTTTATTATCGAATCGCCTCTTTTAACATTATTCAACTTATCTTTAAAAAATGGTGTTTTTGCTGATAAATTAAAAATAGCAAGAGTAGTCCCTATTTATAAAAATGGCGACGACTCTTTAGCATCCAACTATAGGCCTATATCAATACTTTCTTGTTTTTCAAAGCTTCTCGAACGTGTTATGTACAATAGATTATACAACCATCTTGAAACAAATAATATTCTGTATAACAAACAATTTGGTTTTTGCAAGAGTCATTCAACATATCATGGAATAATTGAATTAGTCAATAAAATTTTGAATGGTTTCGAAAATAATGAGTATACTCTAGTCTTGTTTATCGAATTAACCAAAGCATTCGATACAGTTGACCACGAGATCCTCCTACACAAACTAGAGATGTATGGAGTAAAAAACAACAATCTAAGATGGTTCAGAAATTACTTAAATAACAGAAAACAAGGAGTGTCGTACAACACAGCATGTACACGGTTACAAACAGTTAGTTGTGGTGTACCCCAAGGCTCCATTCTTGGAACTTTACTATTTTTAATCTATGTGAACAATATTTACTTAACTTCAAACATTCTTAATTTTACTCTTTTTGCAGATGATACGAATACTGTTTTTACTCACTTAAATATAAAAAAATATTTTCTACAGTTAATGACTAACTGCAAAACTTAAACGAGTAGTTTAAAGCTAATAAATTTTTCGTAAACACCCTCAAAACCAAATATGTTTTATTTCACGAATCATCTAACTCTGTTATTTTACCACTTCAGCTTCTCCAGCTTATGATCAATAACATTAATATAGAAAGAGACCATTCGATGAAAATCCTGGGAATAATTTTTCAAGAAAATCTTAGTTGGAAGAATCATATTTTGCACATCGAAAATAAAATCTCCAAGTCAATCGGCATCATGCATACAATAAAACACCTTCTAAATAAAACTTGCTTAAAAAATGTATATTATTCGTTCATTCACAGTTATATCAACTATTGCAATATCGTTTGGGCAAGCACATACTTTTCAGAACTAAAAAAGATATATGTAAAACAAAAGCAAGCGCGTCGAATTGTATGCAACGCTAACAGGTATACCCATGCCAAACCATTATTAAGGGAAATTGGAGCTCTAAATGTTTATGAACTGAACCTTCTCCAAATGTATTATTTATGTTTTAATCGCAAAACAATTTACTACCAAAATACTTTGAAAATCAATTTTCCATCATTGATCACAAATACCCATCAAGTGCTCTTTTCAAAACTTAAACACTCTGAAAACTTTACTTAAAATAATTGATTTCATTATCTTATCTCGAGGACCGCGGCTATGGAATTCGATCCTTAAAGATGAAATAAAAAACATGAAGTCAACAAATCTCTTTAAAGCAGCTGTCAAACAGCACCTATTGAACTAAAGTGACGTCAACATACTCTCCTACTTTTAGAGATCAAATTCATAATAACTAAAACGAACTTATTCTATTTGGATGACCACAAACGATGATTATATCACAATGCAAATAGTTTTTCTTTCCTATACTCGTCTATCAGATCATTACGTACAAGGCTTTGTTTTTTATGTACAAGGCTAAGTATTTGCTTTATTTCTACTTATGAATTTTTAATGTCACGTTAAGCTCACGTGAAACTTATTGCAAAGTCGCAAATGATGATAAGACTGCAGTCTTCTACTTGCTCCTGTTATTTTTTTAAAATTTTTATCTTATTTATAAATGTACACATGAATTAAAGTTAATTGTATGTAAAATATATAGTGACGAAATATTAAAAAAAAAAAAAAAAAAAGCGCTGAATACACGGAACCTTATAATGCCTACCTAGTTATCCCAAGAACGCTACTTTTACGGAAAGTTAGCATTCACATCAAGGTACCCTGTGATGCAAATTTTGAAATCATTTAATTTTGTCCGCGGGAAATAATTTAATTTAAACGTTCAAATTAAGTCAAATTTTGACTTTATAGTGTGCCAATAAAAATACTTGTAGAATTCGAACCACTCAATATAATTTGATAAAAATTGGTGCAAATGTAGCCAATAGTCACACCAAACTCTGGACGAAATTTCTGCCTGATTGGATAACTGGTGTAAAATTTATTGCAGTTTTAGTTAAAGTTTTGCCAGTTTTTTGATACTTATACCTCAAAGCGTTACCGATTACTTTGAAATTCGGGCAATATTTTTAAAATAACGGTTACATGAGTGTTCTACTATGTAATACCAACTATTTTTGTTATAATTATTTTATCGGTACATGTAATTTCCTTAAAAGTAAATAGTTTAAACAATTGTTTCCTGGTAAGAAAAGTACTATTCAAGAATTATTTCCTTGTAATTTAATATTACCTCAATTAAATCAACTAAATATTTCCTTTATTTTAATGGTTTTTAATTAATAATATGTGTTACTATGTTAAATGGATTGTTATCAAATATAAACTTAGGTCAAATTTTGTAAAAGGATGAGTTTAATTTAGTGAAGTCAAATTTAGTGAATTGCCACGATGCCAAATCAAGCAAAGAATCACGATGAAAATCGAATGTTTGTGTGCTTGCTCTGTCTGAAAAAATATTTAAGACACATTACTACTTTTCAAGGAGATTGAATATGCCAACTGAAGACCAAGATCAATATCAGTGATACTAGGGTACCAAAAGAATTCTGCGAATCGT